TTTGATGCTTCCTGCATCATTCAATATTTTGCCAATAAAATCCTTCAGTATTGCAACTTGAGGCTTGAAGTTTTTCTTCAGTTTTTTTTGACTTGAGAAATACCCAGTGTATTCTTTCCTTTTGGTTTCTAACTTCAGGTCCTTGCACATTTCATTATGATATTTTATTTTGTCTTCTTGAACCTCCCTGTGAAATCTTCTGTTCAGATCTTTTACTTCATCAATTATTCCATTCACTTGATCTACTCTACTTTCAAAAGCAAGTTTCAGAGTCTCTTCTGACATCCCTTTTGGCATTTTCTATTTAAAAAGACTTTTTCCAAGGAGTGATGGATAGTGAAGGTTTTACACTACTTAGGGTATTTTCCACTATATTTCAGAGATGAAATAGATTAGAGAGTTGACAATTGGTCTTTGGTTTAGAAAGCACACTATGTGCAATAATTTGCTTTTGATTGCACACATAACTTTTCAAAAACAGCTTCTAGGATTTATAAAGGAATGATTAATTAGTCCAGTTACTTAAAACATGGTACAGATGGAGTCATGGATTGCCTCAGGATGAAAAGGTGATCTGCTAACAGAATCCATGCCTCTGTTTTGAGCAACTGCTTACAAATGAGTGCTAGGCCACAGCTTCATTTTTCTTCTTGGAGAACTCCTGATAGTGAATCAAGTCCATTATCCTCATATCTGAAGTTCTGTGTTATTATAGGTAACCTGAACCTTTACTTTGGCTAATTCTGATGTAGAGTAAGTGTTTAAAATATTTTTAATAGCTACTAAATTCACTAAGGAGCTCTGATGGTGTAGTGGTTAAGGCATTTGACTGCTAACCAAAATATTAGTGGTTCAAACCTACCAGATGCATGCAGAAGAAAGTCTGTTTCTGTACAGATTTGCAGCCTTGGAAACCTATTGGTGGTCACTGTGAGTTGGAGTCAACTTGATGGCAGTGAGTTTGGTTTGGTTTGAATTCACTAGTTTGAGTGTTCCAGTACATAGAGACATTTTCATACAATATATTTGTATAAATAATGTAGAAAATTATCATTATTTTTAAGAATAAAGTCATATCCTAATTCTCTGTAAGTTATGAACATTCAAACTTATGAAATGTTTTATTTAATTGCTCTCTTTAAGTTATGAGCTATTTTTTTCTTTTGCTTTTACAAGAAATCATTTGGAATTTTCCTTCAAGAGTTTCCAGGAGAAAGACAACATATTGCCATCTTTGCAGTTGTATACCATATTTTTTTCTCCAAATAATGCACCTACATAAATACATGCACATGTATATAACATGTGGAAATGATGAAATTATGTAAAAAAATTCTGTCATAGCACTCCCATGCACAGACCTCTCACCTCCTGTGATATTTCCAGAAGTGAATTTCATCCACATTTAGTAGTTTGAAAGTGTTACTTTTGATCATATTGGTATAATAAGGGTATAAGCCATGGGAAAAAGTCATGGATCAGTTTCGTACTATCCTCAAACAAAAAACTAAACTCACGGCAACAGAGTTGATTTGGACTCACAGCGACCCCCTGTTTCCAAGGCTGTAAATCTGTATGGAAGCTACTGCCTTATCTTTCTCCTGCGGAGCAGCTTGTGGATTTGAAACCACCGACATCTTGATTAGTAGCCAAATGCCTTAACCACTACACACCAGCACTCCTTATTTGTAGTACCCTGGTAATGGGAAAATAAACAATTAAAACTATGTTTGCTTTGGGGCAGCTGAGGCCAGGCCTGATAATGGTGGAGTTCTTTGTAGCTGATTCGTGCCCAGGTACATCACACAGGAAGAGCGCTGGGCGGAGAGCTGCCACAGCTGGAGCACAGGCTGGTCCTGAAGTAAGCAGGGCCTTTTTCTAAGCCCTCCTGGGTTCTGCTGTGCTGGCACCACGTGAAGCTGGATGACAGAACAGTGTGGGTGTGGGGACGTACTGTCCCAGCCCTGTGGGGGCCTCTGGGTGGCCAGTTGTTCTCATCTCATTCTAGCAAGGAACTTCTCTGGGCCTGCAGCTCTCACTGCTGCCCTGTGGCTTCTGTGTAGGCAAGAGATCCAAATGGCCTGAGCTTGGTGGCCATCTGGTCTTATGATGTGATGGAATACATTGAGCTGTGGTGCACTGGCCTTGGCTCGGAGTGTGCAGACCAGTACAACTCCTGGGCTGAGGTGAGCTGCCCTGGGAAAGCTGTTTCCAGGACAGAAGATATTATTTCTTCCTGAAATGGAGAAACATTTTGCAGAGCAAGGAAAGGAATTCTTCCAGGAGTGGGGCTTTAGAAACTCAAGGATAGGCTGGTGAAGGTCTGTTGCTGGGAATCAAACTTTCGCTTCAACAGACATCAAGATGAAGACTTAATATTAAATCCGTTGGACAGAAAAAAAAAAAAAAAAAATTGAAGTTGAAGGCATCAACATATAAAAAAATATTGGTATAGCACATTTAAGAAAAATGTATAATGCCTGCACTGCTTGTATGAAAATATGGTGGTTGGTGCATCTCTTCTAGTGTTACATTCTTTTCTCAGTTCTGGACCTTGGTATTTTATGACAATGATAATCAAATACATCATTCTGTGAGGTCCTGTTTGGTAATATCACTTGCATTACTTTACTTTTTCTTTTTTTGATATAACGTTTGAGTTACATAAACATCATACATACATTCTGTTTTGATTGTTATACTTTAAAATAGCTTAATGAGATCATGTAAGCAGTTACATTATGAAATAATGAACAAAGGTAAAGCTGATTGTCTTAGCTAATTTCAATTATTGAAGTGATCATTTAAAGGAATGTAAAGTTTAAGCATAATGTTAATTTTGGGGTTTAGGAAGGCATAAAGACTTTTTCCACTGAAGTTAATGGAATCAGGTATGCTTTATATTATTGTCATTCCCATGATGAAGTAGTGAGGCTGAGACAATGAAATGTTAAGTAATTTTCCCAGATTCATCCAACTAATAAGTTGAGGATCTGGGATACAAACCTCAAGCCATCTCATAGCAGGACCCATGATTTTAACCACTATACTATATTGCCTCTTTCTAGGAGTGATAATATAGGAACAACAATAAGAAAAAATACCAGTTGCCATCAAGTTGCATATCAGAGTAGAACTGTTAGACTGTGCTCCATAGGGTTGTCAGTGACTAACTTTTCAAGAGTAAATCACCAGGCCTTTCTTCTGAGGTGTCTGGGTGTGGACTTGAATCTCCAACCTTTCAATCAGCAGCTTGCACCACCCAGGTGCTGTATTCAGTTTTCCTTCTAATTCCTTGCAATGTATCGTCACAGCTATGGGATATAGTGATGTTTTCCTTTATGTTAAGCAGCTTGAATGAAAATGCTGCCAAGAGCTCTAATTAAGAGCAGCTTTAAGCTACTGAATTAGCCAGATAACATAAGAATATCAGGCTATCTTATAAGATGCTGTGGCACCAACCTTGATTGCCTAAATAAACTGTTCTCAGATCTCTAAACTAGAGACCCATTTGCATGGTGAAGAGGATCTACAGTTCACCTCAGTGAGAGCTGTCTTGAGGTGAGCCTTGGGTTAGCTCATTTCCATGGGATTTTGTAGGCCTGGTCTGGTTGGCTGCTAGTTTTGATCCTGCACCTGTGAATCCCCAGTCAGTTCCACAAGGTATTTAGCTTCTGATGAGGGGTGATAAGAGAGGGATAGCAGTTGCTAAGCAACAGGTAGAGGTTAAGACAACACTAAAGCACAATCTGTACCTAATTATGGTACACTTAATAATCACTGTTCTTCATAAGAATTGTAGTATGGCAGTATAACAAATTATAAAGCCGGATAGAATCCCCAGAAACAGTCTATTTTCTTAAGATCCTGCATAATAAGTTTGAAGGGATACTAGAAATATAATATTATGTTTTTCGACTTTGGAGTTCATGTTTTTTAGCAGATGAACTCATAAAAATATGTCTTTCACAGCAAATTCTCTACAAATTGGAGAGGTGCTTTATTATTTTTGTTGTTATTCCTTTGAGATAATGGCACACAGGATAAACAGTTTGAGAAGGAAGGCTCTGAAGGGAAGCCCCTAATAAGCCAAAAAGAGTCATATTTCAACAATATAGTAGCTTCTTATCCAGGAGAAGCATGTTTAGGTTTTGCTTTTTGTCCTTTTTAATGTTCCATGCAAATGAACCCTTGTCCTAGATTGGAAAAAAAAAAAAAATCTCATGACGTTGTGCTCTTTTAGTCCTTTCTGTAAAGGTAGGGATACTTTTTTGTCCTTGGTCAAATTTATTGAGGCAGAGAACTGATAGCCTAGCTTACCTGTGCCAGATGTCATCTGTATTTTTATCATGATCACAGAGACACTCATTGTCCTGGGAATGGAGGGAACATTGTTCCTGCTTTTTGGAGGCTGTCTTTCACGGTATTGTGGGGGAGGGAGTCAAGGTCCATTAAAGATCTATTAGGGAGTAAGTTTGATGTTAAAAAGGTTCATATCCATTCTGGAATTTAGGTGTCTAGATTTTTGAGACTTCTAGAAGAATTGAGGGAGAAATCAAGACCCACAGAACAAAGTAATCTGAATTTAAAGCTGCCTTGTTTTGTAAAGAAATGTTATTTGGACCCTGCTTACTTTAATAGTAGGAGCTCTGGTGGTGCTGCGCTTAAAACATTACACTGCTAACCAAAAGATCAGTGGTTCTAACACACCAGCCGCTCCATGGGAGAAAGAGGAGGCAGTCTGCTTCCATAAAGACTCACAGCCTTGGAAACCCTATGCGACAGTTCTACTTTTTCCTATAGAGTTGCTATGAGTCGAAATTGACTTGATGGCAGTGGGCTTGGTTTTGGATATTTTAGCAGTGGTTAAATATAACTATCATTGTACACAAAATGATACTTAAAGAGAAGGGTGTTGTTTTTATTTTCATAACAAAACAATAGAGTCAAATTAAAAGATGAAATTCATTCTGTACATACATTAAAAAAAAAAAGCTTACCTGAAAATTTAAATGAAGAAGGATCTATGGATAGAGACCCAGTTTTACCTATTATCTTCTGATATAAAATGGTTTCAATCCTATCCCAAAATTTTGCTGCATTATATTTAAAGCAGGATTTAAACATCAGAACAGCATGCACTATTACTTTCCCTTTGGCTTGGCTGCAGAACAAAAACAGAAAAATAAATTATTTTTATTATTATTATTATTTGTACCATGGCTCTGTCACTCTCAGTGAAAATTTTGTCTGTTGGAGCTCCTGGCGGCTTTTCTAGTCCCTCTCAAGGAAAGGTAAATTGCATTTTATGGACATGGTGGAACAGTGTGAAAGGAGTGTGATTTAGGCTCAGGAGATGTGAGTTTGTGTTCTAGATCTACTATTTGCCAACTCTGACTATAACAAACTGTTTACATTCTTTGTGCCATCTCTCAAATGGAGATGGTAATAATATTTACTGGGTTATTGTAAACATCATATAAAATAATGGATCTGGAGCTATTTTGAAAATCCCAGAGTGCTATATAAAAATTATTTATTAATATCCATGTATCTGTGTGTTATAAAGGAGCTTTGGTGGCACAGTAGTTAAATCATTCTGCTGCTAACCAAAAGGTTGGTGGTTGAACCCACCAGACACTGTGGGAAAAAGATGAGGCAGTCTGCTTTCACAAAGATTTACAGCCGTAAATGAAACATAATGGGTAAGGTGAGAAAATCATTTATTATCTTGGTTTTCTTTTAGCTGAGAGGCACAATTTGTAGTAATGGATCAGTTCTCTCTTACCTGTTGGAAATCATGGCTGAGGGGAACAAAACATTCTTTAGACTGGATTTATTTTAATTTGTAATTCTGCCTTGAAGACATAAATGTGTAAACCAGAAAATTGAACAGGCGGGAACTACTACTTACCCAGTGGAATGTCTAGTCTGCTCTAATCTCTATTTCTGTGGCTCCTCACCTCTTTCCAGCATTTCTCCACATTTGTACAATTGCCAATCCAAAACAGCACCAGACATCTAGGTAACCAGGGAAAGATCCTGAAAACATTCATTTCATATCATACCTTCTAGCACTCATGTTCAAAAAATAGAAACAAATGCCAAGATATTCTAAGTGATTATAGAACCTTGTGGGAGCGCTGGTGGCCTAGTGCCTAAGGCATTTGACTGCTAACCAGAAGGCTGGCTGTTCAAACCTACAAGCCACTCCTTGGAAGGAAGATCGGGCAATCTACTTCTGTAGAGATACCGCCTCGGAAACCCAAGGATGGATCGCTATGAGTCGAATCGACTGGACGACAGTGAGTTTGGTTTGGCTTTGGGTAGAACCTTATTGTTTCAATTATTTTTTCCAGGATAAATGAATGGATTAGCTAATTTCTATACAGTATACCTTATCACTTTATGTTTTAGGGGTACATGTACCAGATGCCTTTCCTTCTGAGGGTGTAAATGTATTATTTTTATTTCTTTTGTACAGATTAGGCCATTGGTAATTATTTATTAAGTATTCTCATTTCTTCCTCTGCTTTTATGTTTCCCATGGGTACAATGTAAGTCTCTTTGATCTGCAAGTACTAAATCCTTTGTTCCTGGTGAAATGGACAAGGACTTATCATATTACTCTGTTTATTTTAAAGAGTTGTTAAACCATAGATGTCACTCGGAACTTTTCTCCTGGGTCAAATAAACTAAAACTAAGCTAAATATGGAATATACATTCTTAATCTGATGTCATTAGGGTCATATGACAAAAACATGAACTAAAAGTTGTTTAATTTTACCTTTTCCTGACTCACAAATAATCTTCAATTTATATGAAAAATAAATCTATAATTTTTTTTTCCCACAGGCAGTTTTCCTTTACAGTTTTCCTCTACTTCCCATTCATTCACTCATGCAACAAATGTATATTGGTTCAGGCACTATGTCAAACAGAGTTCTACACACCAGAGCTCTATCAGCATATAAGACTACACGTTCTCAACTTTCATGCCCATATATTTTAGTGGGAGAGACAAATACAGAAAATGAATCATGCTAAGATGTGGAGAAAAGCATTCCAGGAAGAAGGAGTAACAAGTGCAAAAGCTCTGTGAAAACAAGTTTACTGGAAGAGTAGAAGAAATATCAGTGTGGATGGAAAGTTGTGAGTGAAGTCAACAGTATGGGATGAGATTGGAGAGAGGGGCAGGGGCCAGATCAGGTAGGTTCATGTGGACTGCAGTAAGGAGTCTGGAATTTGTGGGAAACCTTCAGAGGTGGTTAATCAGGGGATTATTGTGTTTTTCCAATTCATTTGGGTTTCTGTGTGTAGAATAGTTTATAGGTGGGCAAGAATGAAAGCTGGAGATTAGATAGTTTGATACACTAATCTAGGTAAGAAGGAACTTGGGATGGAACGTAGCAGAGAAGGTGAGTGAGAGGAAGTGGAGAGTCCCTTCTCAGTAACTGATGCTTAAAGCTTCTACATTCAGAACTTTTCTTCTTATGGTCATTTCTATCACATCAATCAAGCAGATTCTTTTTTTGCTTTTTTTTTTTTTTTAAAAACTCATAGCATCAACTAGTGATTGTGTCCCAAGAACAACTTACCTGGTTTGCTAATTAAAAGTAGTAAGTGGTACTGTGAAATGCTGCAACATACGAAGAGTCTGAAAGCATGGCAATTAATGGATCAAGTTTTCTGGTACATCACAGCTGCTCAATTATGGTTGTTTTTTACCTTATGGCTCTATCTTAGTTATCTACTGCTTGATACCACAATACTACAAGTGGATGGCTTTAATAAACAGAAATTTATTTTCTTACAGTTTAATAGGCTAGAAGTTTGAATTCAGGGCTCTAGGGGAAGGCTTTCTCTTTCTGTCAGCTCTGATGGAAGGTCCTTGTCTCCTTTCAACATCTGTGGGCCCACCATTACTTGGAGATCTCCATGTGGGTTTTTTATTTATTTATTTATTTTTAATTTTATTTTGATTTGGGTGAAGATTTACAGAGTAAATTCACTTTTCATACAGCAGTTCACATATACTTTGTCTCATGTCATTGACCAAAATTTACAA